ACTTTAAGATAACATAATAATATGAAGAGTCACATAAGCATGTAACTCATGCACGCTTCCGACGCCGCTCGTATTTGACCAAGAATGCCAAGGCGATCTCGTCTCCATCAGAAACTCAACCTAGAGACCCGGCCCAGGTATTGACCGTGTCTTGATAGAACTCCAAAATTAATTATTTAATTTTTGAAATATCAAATTTATGGTCAGATATGAATTTTAATATTAGTCATTTTTAAAATAATAGAATACTACTAATTGTATTTTTTTCCTGGTTCTCTTTTTTTCTTTTGTTTGTTCTTATTATGCTGTCCAGAGAGACTTTATTTTATAATTATTATTATTATATTATTATTATTATTATTATTATTATTATTATTTTTTGTGGTAATAAAATCTGTAATTGTCAAAGGATATAAAGATGAGAACAAAGTTGTCTGTCCACATTCTGTCTCTCATGGCAATGAGATTAATGACAATTAATTAACAAAAGTAGGTATTATTATTTATTAATTAATTAGCCTAAAAGATTGGTATAAAAATCAAATGATTAATTTGTCTCATATTGATGTTGAGATTTTGAGCATTTTTCTGCCTGATTTTGTGCACTGTTAGGAGGAGACAAACTAAGATTTTCATGGCTTCATCATGAGTTGTCATTTCTTGAAAATTCAAAGGGTTCTCCTCACATTTTATTTTAAAATAAATTATAATTTAGATTCCATTTAATGTTCCAATATATTTTTACTTATATATAGGAAAAATAAGATGTTTGAGAATCTTTTTATGGCAACACGGTTGATTTCGAAGATCACTTTCGAAACTAAAACGAAAAAAAAAGCAAAAAAAATTAATAAAATCTCCATATATATATATATTGAATTTGGTTTATTATAAAGTGAAAAAGAGCACTATATTAAAAATTTTAATATTGTATTTTTATTAATAAAATATCTTGTAATCTTTTTTCTTGTAAAATATATAGTAAAAATACTTTTTACTTTCTCCAAAATAATTTACTCACTCTTCTTACAAATTCTTCGTGGAGGCCCAAAACTTCAACAATTTCTGTGGACCTAAACTGTCTAGGTTATTGGATGGGCCGATGTTATAATAATACATGGACTGGTCCATTAACTAGGACCCTTCCTAAAACCCAAAATAACAGGTAATGTTGATACAACGATATCAAAACTCTGTGACTGTAAGGTAAACGCGACGCTACATTTGACTATTGAAACAAAATTTTAAATCACAAAAATTAAAAATAAAAAAAAATAATGTTGAAAAAAAAATAATATAAAAAAAAAACTTCAATAGATAAAGCGCCACGAGTAGGGGTGAGAAACGGTGCGGTTCGGTGAAAAACCGCACCGGACTGCAAAAAAAGGGAAATCGAACTTGACAAAAAATAACCAAACAACACCGCAATTTTAAAAAAATAAAACCGAATTTTTTTATACACTAAAATAACCGAACCGAACCGCACTGTAATGCACGGTTCTGTTCGGTTTGGTTCTGTTCGATTTTCGATTTTATCTCGATTTTTATATACATTTTATGCAATTTGGTGCGGTTCGGTGCAAAACCGCATCGAACCGAACAAAACCGAAAAACTATAACCGCATCGAACCAAAATTGAACGGTTCGGCTCGATTTTTCAGTTTCGACTTGGTTTTGCTCACCCCTAGCCACGAGCACAAAATCCAATTTTAACACATTTAATTAACAAGTTACAAACCCACTCGATCAACATATATATAGGACATTTTTTCTTTCACCATACAGCCAAAGTCACCAAAAGTAGACTTAGAGCTTAATATTTTACAACTTATAACAAAGCTTCACGAGGAGACTTTATTACATTTATCTCCACAGAGCTATATTTTAAATTTTTGCAGATATATCAACATACAATACATATATATATTACAGTTAATTATGTCTTGTGTTTGTGTTCTTAATGATTGCATTAACATATGCTAGAACCAAATAGCCTTTGCTTTAATGAGCCTCTGCTTCAATGAGCCATCGACATGTAGCGTGATCACGTCCTTAGCGGACCCCACGAACTCTCCGCCTATGAAAACAGCGGGCACAGTCGGGCTGCAGCCGAGGGCCCGTAAGGCCCATTCCATTTCACGGCCTCTCGGGTCTTGGTCTAGCTCATGGACCGCCGGGCTAGCCCCCAAGTCGTAGAACAAGGCCTTTATGCTATGGCACATGCAACACGTGCTTTTCGTGAAGATCACGGCCGCTTTCTTCGACGACAAGTCTCGTATTCTCTCCATTTTTTTTTTTTTGGGGGGGAGAATATGATGTTTTAGCACTTGAACTTAGGGTTTTATGTGGTGTGTGTTTGTGATTTTTGAGAAGACATCATGTGGTATTTATAGAGGGGAGAATTAAAGTCATAAGTTGACTATTTTTATTGTGGTTGACATTTGTTAATTTTTAAATAATTTTTTGGGGGAAAAAGTTACATGAAGAATCAAATCAATATGAGATATTTGTTAGGATAAAGAGAAAAAAAACACACACACACACACACACACACACACACAAGTTGACTTGTTGTGTGGTAACATAATGTTATTCAAATTTTGATATTTGAGGTCGAAAAAGCTTCTACACAAGAAAAGAATCCGTTGACGGCGTTATGACGTGACGTTGGATTCTGATAGAGTGATGATGATGATGATGGTAATGAGAAATAATAATGTATTTGTTGGGGGATATATATATTCGAATAATGTGTCATGGCGGGAGAGTATCAAAACGGCAACTTTCGGTTAATTTATGGAACTCATATTACATAAATTATTCCATTATATGAACTTTGCATAAACTTATTGCATACGTGGTTTGTGATGGAAACACAAATTCCCTCATCCAATTCCCTCATACTTATGGTCCCGTTACAGAATCATTCTGTCGTATAATCGTTAGATCATCATGTAACCGTCGTGGATAGTTTTTTTTGGTAGCCAGCCACGGTATCCGGAGCTGTGCCCCGACTAATCCGTTGGTCGACCCGGGTCGCACACCTGGCAGTGGTAGGTGAGTCTCCCAACAAGCACTACAAGAAAAACTGCATTTGACGACGCTTATTAATGACACTTATTGGCGAGTTGTGTTGCTAAATTTGATGTCAGAAAAAAATAAGCGTCAATAAACAAAAAAATAAGTGTCGCCAAATGCAGTTTTTCTTGTAGTGAAGGGTTTTCTGCATCCACAAGGACTCGAACCCGAGACCTTGCTTAAGCGGAATCAAGCTGCTTACCACTTGAACCAACCCATGTTGGTAACAACGGTTACAACCTCGACGGAATGGTTCCATAAGGAGATCGTAGTATCTCCCTATACTATAAATATCATAATTTTTCATATAAATCATTCAAATCGGCTCTATAAGGAGCTCTATCTAAGAGTCTAGAGGTGTAACTCGATTAATTAATGAATGGTGAGTAGAGATTGCCAGTCGAGAGTAGTCTAAATATCTCCGAGTTATATATAATTGACTATACTATAGTTAGTGTGATCTCTTATGAATTTTGTGTAGATTCACATCTTAATACTTAGAGTATAGGTAGTTTATTTAGGTATAATTCAGACGAAGGTATGAAAACCCTAACCCTCTTTCCTTGACTTTATAGTATAGAGACACATAATATATAACTAATTTAAGTGTCGGAGTGTTTATCATCTCGATAACTCTTATTAGCACTGTTGCATGCAGAACACTTGTATCGTGATGGAAATGCTAGGGAGCTATTGAGGCTCGACTTATAAAGTCATCCACACTTATTCACCAATAGTGTATATATTGACACGTGTCCTACAATAAATACAATTTGAACATGTGTCAATATTCTAAGTGATGGATGACTTCATAAAAAAACCATACGATGACTCTATAGATTTTTTGTTTATCAAAATTTGTAATTAATATAATATAATGTTGAAGAAGTTATACATATTAATTAATTGTTGCATGTGTGCCTAATAATTAGACAGGAATATTTTGAAGTATATCATACATATGTTGATAACATATTCTATAACTCCCATTTGCTGATAACATATATTCTATAGGTCCCAACTCCCATTTCTGTAAAGAGTTATTATATCAACATTTTTTTAGTTATGCTTTTTATAAATGTCAATCTGATCTAAGCAAATTAAAAGTGGTTTTTGAAATCTTGTAACATATGCATGGAATAAATTTCATCAACCAAATTGACCTCTGCACACTCATTATATATATATATATAT